GTTGAATGAGAACCTGGGCAGCAATGGGAATCAGCAACCAGGTCAGCCTGGGATCCAGAAGACTAGGCAGGCTGTGTTGTAAGAAGCAACGGGCTCAAGAGTGTTCATGACAAGAGTTAAAAGCAACTGGAGTGTATTGGGGCTGAGCAGATAGAGCAGAAATGAGAGAATGAGTGGCGGCACCAGTGGTTGTCTGAGAGCATTAATGAGCCTGAGAATTTCCTGTCTCATCTTGGGTTGCAACAACTGCTGCTGGTCCAGGCCCTGCAGATAAAGACAGGCATTTGGAAAACCTAATAAACTGGGGGCTAGGTGGGCAAAGGAGAGCAGCTACTTCTGGAAAAATCCTGCCCCCCCAAAAAAAAATTGCTTGCAAAAGTTAATACAAAAAGGAGGCAGTGTGACTTTTTAAAATTCATTTAAACAAGCATTTATTTTTAGCTCCTAGAGCAAATATCAGAAGTGGTTAAGTCGTTGTACCTGTAATTTTGTAGCACACCAGGAACCATAACAAGAATATTTAGCTGTTGGTCTCACCCCCAGGACACCCTAAATTGTCTGAGTAGTGACATCGATGCCTTGAGTCGCTAGTAAGTAATTCTGAAAGTTAGGAATTTTTTTTGGTACTATAGTATAAGCAGTAATGTGATACTAGAGGAAAGAAAGAGTGATTTATTCCATATTCAGTAGTTTAGTACCTTGGTTTCATTCAGTATTGTGTGGATTTAATTTAAAATAATTATTAATTAATAGTTCATCATTCAATATCAATGATTTTCAAATGACTAAAATCATTTACATCAAGCAGGCTGCTGCTATCAGCACGTTTTTGTTATAGTGTCTTACAGGTTTTTCAAATTAAGTTCTGTGCTTCAGAATGGTTGAAATGACAGGAAACTGTATTATTCCAGAAAATACCTTGTTGGCTTTATTTCTGATGATAAACATAAATGAGGAATGGTGAGAAATCTTCTGAGGTAGTGAGTCTCACATGGCAGCTCATTTTGTATTGATTCCAATTAATATAAATGGACAAGATGTGTTCTTATTATAGTGAGAACATGATTAAAGGTTTTTATGGAAGGCTAAAACTTGACTTTTTCACCAGGAAGCAAATTTCTCCAAGGAAAATAGTAGCAGCTATGATATTAGTAAGCTTAACATGTGCCAAGCATTGGTTTTGTGCAAAGGTCAGCAAGCTACAACCCTCTGGCCAAATCTGGCCTGATTCCTGTTTTTGTAATTAAAATTTTATTGTAACACAATTATGCTCATTTATTTACATATTGTCTATAGCTGCTTTTTCTTTTGAATAATTGAGAGACTGTCTTGCAAAGCCTAACGTATGTACTTTCTGGCACTTTATAGAACAATTTTGCTAAAATCTGCTCTACTGTTTTACATATTTTGCCAACCATAGAGGATATTCGTTGTCCTCTATTAGGAAACTGAGGCACAGATATCTTATGCAGCCTGCTCAAAATCAAGTAGCCTGTTGATGGAAGAGCTGGGATGCCAGCTTTCTCAGTTTGCCTCCAAAGCCTGTGCTGCTTACAGCTCTGCTATACAGTAGACAGAGATTTATTCGGTATTTAGATTTTCTTTTTTACTCTTGCTTGAACGTCTTACTCTAGGTCTTTTACAATAATGTTATTTTCTTGTTTAATTTACAAACAAGGTGGGAAATTAAAAACTTATTTCTATTCCTTTTAAGGGAGTCTGGTGGTCCTGGACCAGTTGCATCAAATCTTAGCTTGGTTTATGGGGTAAGGGAACCAGGTGTATTGGGTGTGATAGCATCTGAGGTTAAGTTCAAGTAGACATGGTTTATTGAGTGCTTTCTACATAGGAGGATAAACAAACAATGATGCACAAAAGGAAGTCTTGGTGTGATGGAAAAACAGATGAGTAAGAATAGTTGACTTTTGGACAATATGGGAGTTGGGGGGTGCTGACTTCCCAAGCAGTTGAAAATCCACCTATAAATTTGACTCCCCCGAATTTAACACTAATGGTCTTCTGTTGACCAGAAGCCTTGCCAATAACAATTAATGCAAGCCTTACCAATAACAATCAATTAATGCATATTTTGTATGTTTTATGGATTATATACTGTATTCTTACAATAAAGTAAGCTTGAGAAAAGAAATGTTATTAAGAAAGGCATAAGGAAGTGAAGATATATTTTCTGTGCATCAAGTGGAAGTGGATCATCATAAAGATCCTTGTCTTCTTCATATTGAATAGGCTATGGAGGAAGAGGAAGAAGAGGAGGAGTTGGTCTTGCTGTTTTAGGGGTGGCAGAGGGCAGAGGCAGAAGACATGGAGGAAGGGGATGAAGAGGCAAGAGAGGGAGGTACACTTGGAATAATTTGAAAAAAATCCACACGTAATTGGACCCACACAGTTTGAACCTATGTTGATCAAGGGTGAACTGTAGATGATTTTAATACAGAGAGGGGAACGCTGTAACATAACTGCATAGAGAGCTATAGCAGCATAAAAAAACTGTTCTAAATCATAATGAGAGGATGAAACCCAGAGACATCCCTGATATAAGTTTATCAGAAAAAAATTGCTTGGAAGGTCTTCAAAATGAGGCAGCTTAGTGAGGAAAAGCATGCTATGTATCTTAGCATAGCATGTTCTGGAGGCTCTGAGAATTTGGACAGGACACAAAGAAAGGAATCAATTCATAAGGGTCTTTGAGCATAATATCATCATAATCAATAGCTTACATTGTTTCCAGTTGACTGGGGGAAAGTACGTAAGCATTTTTGGCACATATAGATTGTTTTCAGATTTCCATCTTAGACCATATACTTTGAAGCCTATGTCGTCTCCTTTCTCATCAAAATGTAGCGTTTGAGGCACTTATATTAGAGTGGCCTGGGATGCTTGCTTAAAATCATCAGCCCCCACTCCACACCTTTTACATCAGACTCTCTGGGAAATGGTGCCTATGAATCTACATTTAAGTAAATGCCCCAGGTGATTTTTATACACTCCACAGTTTAAGAAGCATTGAAAGATGATTTGAAGAAGGACTATGAAGAAAATTCATCCAGGTGAGGGCTGTGAGGGTCTGAATAATGGTACCTGGGCTTCAGAGAAAGGACCATTCAATTTTAGAAGTTTTTTTGGAGATAAAAATCAAAAGTTGGTGATTACTTGATTTAGATGGTGAGTAGCAAAGGAAGAAGAAATGCCTTTTCTTATTAAAAATGTGACTTAAGTTATCAACCTGAAACAGAGAATATATTTTTCTCTCACCCAAAACTACACCTCTTCCTACGTTTTCTCCAAGGTCAATTCAGATTCTTGCTCCATAATATCCCTGTTTGTCACTCTAAAATGAAACATGTCAGCCAGTTTGGAAATGAAAGCCAAGTTTAGTTCCCCAGAAACTCAAAACTATGTTCAGAGTAGTTGATTGGAACATATATTTATTGAAATGAAGAACCTGACACATAAAATGGTATTTTTGAAATTGTCTTGCCAAATGCGAGTGATGTGGAACCTGGCAAGAAGGGAAATTTAGTTCAATTAAGGAGTCTGTCAGTGGGCAGATTGGCCACCAGAGAGCTAATAAAAATTTGTTCATAAACCAATATCATAACAGTTTTTTTTCTGTGGAAAAATGTTATTTGGTTGATAGTTTTCATCATCCTACCCTTCTGTTGATCAAATCTTTCAAATGCATTCCTCAAACTTCATAATTCCACAACTATTCTGTCACAGATAATCCAAAAGTGGAATATGTAGCATATCCCCATAACTCAATAGAATCGCTTTTTTCTTTGTTTGGAACTATACAACAAAAACAAAATAAGAATAATCTACCTTCATTTTAAAGGTAACTCCTAGGTAAAGAAGGAAATCATTACACCTGGCCAGAGGGAGAGTGGAAACAGGACTTTTAGAGAAGTCCACCCACTTATTTGAAGGACACACATTCAATGATACAGTTTGCTTTGGCTATTCCGAATAGCACAAGAGAATAGCATAATACTCTGTTGTGACTTCAGCAAAACTCCAAGCAACATAATTATTGGAAAGAACACAGCCAAGGAAGCCACCAGACCTAAGTTCTGCCTCTGGTTAGTAAGGAGACCTTGGCCCAGTGTGAGACTGGGTAGTAATGTTGAGTAAGACATGAAATTAGCCCTCAAAGAGCTCATTCTCTAGCACAAAAAGGCAGAGTCGGGTTGGAGAACTAGTTTGGATTTCAGGAAGAAGTGCTATTTGAGCAAAAACTTAAGGGATAGATTAGGCTTTCAGGCATAGGAGGAAGTGGAGAAGCCTGCCGGCAGAGGCATAATTAGAAGGTAGCAATTACTATTGGATGTGTTGACGGGTATGTAGAAAAATATTCTTACCTGGCAAGGGAGATAATGGGACCACTAAGGTGGTTGCACTTTTGATGTGCTGATCCCTGCAATGGATATTACTTTTCTGACTTGTCACTTCCACTCCATTTATCCTGTCAGAAAAAAGTAATTCATGAGGAATTTCAAAACAATGATGCACCCTAGGAATATCCATGCTCTCTCCTGGTTAAAAAAAAAAAAAAAAATCTTGAAAAACAATTTACAAATGAAGCCTATGTAGGAGGAAATTAGGTGGTACAGGTGAGTAGGAAGCAGATCCTGGAGGTGCTTACAGGTTCATCTTTAGAGGTTGTAGTTTCATTCTTGGCAATGCTTAGGTGTAGATGACAAGGAAATGTGTTGGGAGACTGGAGGTGGCATAGATAAGACAGATGTGGCCATTAGAACGTTCAGGAAGGGAATAGGATGAGATGTGTTTGGAAAGCAGACTCTGCAGGATTAATCGTGTGTGGGAAAAGTGAGAAAGGAGTTCTGGGAGAAGCTGTTTATCCCAACCTCTGTCCTTTTGGTATGTGTGTGTGGAGTGTTTAGGCTTAATTTAGTTTTGGAATCTCTCCACTTACTGACTGTGTGCTTCACCCAGAAATTCAATTTTTTTCTTCTTTACAGTGGGAATAACAAGTGTGTTGGTTGTGAAGAGTGCGTCTAGAGTGCTTACACAGCAACTGGCACACACAGAGAAGTTAGCTATGCATATTACTTTTCTGACTTCTCACCTCCACTCCATTTACCCTGTCAGGAGAAAGTAATTCACAAAGACTTTCAAAACAATGATGCACCCTAGAAATATCCAAGTACCTTAGCTGAATGATTTCACTCTAGTATAGTGACAGAGTTACCAACTAGACAGTGCTAGAAACCCATGCTTTCAACATCCTGCCATGCACACCTTTGTCTGGTGAGTAAGGATATTGCTTTCTACTGCACTGGGGCTTGTGAAAGCTGGTCTAGAAAATCTGATTAAAGGATATCTAGCTGTGTCTCTCTCTGGGACAACTACTTTCCACATCTGCAATTTGACTTGTTCAGTTGCAGGTCATGTACTGGGCAGAGGTGAATATGAATTGGTGGAAATATATTTTTTATGACTGGTGAAGCAGTGCAAAGAGGTTTTCACCTGGTGGGAAGTGTCATCAGTTTAGTGAGGCAGGGTTTGACCCCAATGCAAGTGTTTTAAAACTAGCTTGATATTGGCCTGTAGTTCTCTTTCTTTGTTGGATCTTTACCTGGCTTGGGTATCAATGTGTTGTTGGCTTCGTAAAATGATTTGGGGAGAGTTCCATCTTTTTCAATAGCCTGGAATACCTTCAATAGGATTGGTATCAGCTCCTCCTTATATGTCTTGTAGAATTCTGCTGGAAAGCTATCTGGACCAGGGATTTTTTTTTGTAGGAAGTTTTCTTATTACGCAGTCGATTTCCTTGATTGTTATTGGTCTATTTAGGGTCTCAATTTCGTCTTGTTCCAACCTAGGTAGGTTGTGTGATGTCAGAAAGTCCTCCATTTCCTTAAGGTTTTCAAGTTTGTTTCCATACAAGTGTACGTAGTAGTCTCTAATGATCTTTTGTATTTCTTCAGGGTCAGGTGTGACTTCAACTTTTGTGTTTCTGATTGTGCTTATTTGGTTTTTTTCTCATTTTTTCTTAGTCAGTCTAGCTAGGGGACCATCGATCTTGTTTTTCCTTTCGAAGAACCAGCTTTTTGTTTCATTGATTTTTTGTATTATCTTTTTGTCTTCTATGTCCTGGATTTGGGCTTTTATTTTGGTGATCTGGATTCTTCTGCTGAAATTAGGGTTTTTGTGGTCTTGCTTTTCCAACTTCTTTAGGTGGCTTGTTAGGTTGTGATTTTCTGTTCCTTCCATTTTCTTCATGTGTGTTTGTAGGGATATAAATTCCCCTCTTACTACAGCTTTCAGGGAATCCCAGAGATTTTGGTAAGATGTTTCTTCATTTTCATTTGTTTCCAGGTATCTTTTGATCTCTGTTTTGATTTCATCATTGACCCAGGAGTTGTTTAGCATCATGCTGTTTAGTGTCCATGTCTTTGTGGGTTTTGGGGGGACTTTGTTGGTGTCAATGTTTATTTTTATTCCACTGTAGTCCGAGAAGGAACATGGTAGAATTTCAGTCTTTTTAAATTTGCTTATGCTTGATTTATGGCCGAGTATGTGGTTGATCTTAGAATATGTTCCATGTGGTGATGAATAGAATGTATATTCTGTGGTCTTTGGATGGAGTGTTCTGTAGGTATCAATTAAGTCCATTTGGTCCAAAGTCACATTGAGGTTCCGGATCTCCTTGCTGATTTTTTGTCCTGATGATCTGTCTAGGGTTGTGAGTGGGGTATTAAAGTTCCCAGTTATGATGGTGTTAGAGTCAATATCTTTCTTCAGTTTTCCTAAAAGTTGCTTTATGAAAGTTGGCACACCTATGTTGGGTGCATATATGTTTAGGATAGATATTTCCTGTTAATGGAGTGAAACTTTTATCATTATGTAGTGGCCGTCTGTATCTTTTTTGATTTTTAATAGCTTGAAGGGTATTTTGTCTGAAATTAAGATCGCTACTCCTCCTTTCTTTTGTATTCCATTCACCTGAAAGTTTGTTTCCATCCTCTTACTTTGAGTCTGTGGGTGTCCTTTTTAGTGAGGTGAGTCTCTTGAAGGCAATAGATTGTTGCCTGATGATATTTTATCCATTTTGCCATTCTTTGTCTTTTCAGTGGTGCATTTAGTCCATTCACATTTAGGCTAATAATTGAAATGCAAGAGTTGATCCCTGTCATAAAGAAAGAGAACTACTGGCCAATATCTTTGATGAACATAGATACTAAAATTCTCAACAAGATCCTAGCAAACTGGATTCAGCAATACACCTCAAAAATCATCCACCATGACCAAGTAGGCTTCATTCCTGGGATGCAAGGCTGGTTCAACACTCGTAAAACCATAAATGTAATTAAATACATCAACAGATGCCAAAACAAAAACCACATGATCATATCATTAGATGCAGAAAAAGCTTTTGATAAAATCCAGCACCCTTTCTTGATAAAAACTCTTGAACATCTAGGCATATGGGGAACATACCTCAAAATAGTAAAAGCCATCTATGAGAAACCCACAGCCAGCATACTCCTAAATGGACAAAAATTGGAACCAATTCCCCTGAAAACTGGAACTAGACAAGGATGCCCACTCTCACCCCTCCTGTTCAACATAGTATTGGAAGTCCTGGCTAGAGCAACCAGAGAAGAGGAGGCAATCAGGTATATCCAAATAGGAAAAGAGGAAGTCAAGTTATCTCTCTTTGCAGATGATACGATTGTCTACCTTGAAAACCAAAGAGAATCTGTCAAAAGCCTCCTTACATTGATAAAGGCCTTTGGCAAAGTCTCAGGATACAAAATAAATGTACAAAAGACAATCGCATTTCTCTACACCAATAATAAACAAACAGAAACCCAAATAAAAAACACAATTCCACTCACAATAGCCACAAAAAAAATGAAATACCTTGGCATCTTCCTAACCAGAGACGTGAAAGACCTTTACAATGAAAATTACTAAACACTGCTCAAAGAAATCAAAGCTGACACAAACAAGTGGAAAAATATCCCATGCTCATGGATTGGAAGAATCAACATTGTGAAGATGTCCATCTTACCTAAGGCAATCTACAAATACAATGCAATACCCATCAAATTACCAGCAACATTCTTCTCAGACCTGGAAAAAACAACACAAGAATTCATATGGAAACACAAACGTCCAAGAATAGCCAGAACAATCCTCAGCAAAAAAAACAAAGCAGGTGGTATCACATTACCAGACTTCAAATTTTATTATAAAGCTACAATCATCAAAACAGCTTGGTATTGGTACAGGAACAGGCATATAGATCAATGGAATAGAATTGAGATTCCAGAAGCAAAACCTCAATTTCTCAACCAACTCATCTTCGACAAAGCCCCCACCACCTACCACTGGGGAGAGGAGAATCTATTCAGTAAATGGTGCTGGGAAAACTGGCTGACCACATGCAGAAGATTGAAACAGGACCCCTATCTATCCCCATGCACAAAGGTTAACTCCAAATGGATCAGAGACCTAAATGTAAAACCTCAAATCATAAGAACCTTAGAAAATGAAGGAAATACCCTCATGGAAATCGGAACTGGCATCCAATTCCTGAACAAAACCAGAAACCCACAGGTCATAAGAGAGAAGATAGACAAGTGGGACCTTATTAAACTGACAAGCTTCTGCAAAGCCAGAGAAACCATCAAGAGAGTAGGGAGACAGCCTACAGACTGGGAAAAAGGATTTGCCAACTCCAGGTCTGACAAAGGCTTAACATCCTGGATCTACAAAGAACTCAAACGTACTGAAAAGAAAAAAACAAACAACCCCATTATAAAATGGGCAAAATATATGAACAGACACTTCACAAAAGAAGACATCCGAGCAGCCAACAAACACATGAAGAAATGCTCAACCTCACTAATCATCAGGGAGATGCAAATCAAAACCACACTGAGATACCACCTAACTCTAGTCAGAATGGCCATTATCAACAACTCAAAAAATAACAGCTGCTGGAGAGGGTGTGGTGAAAAGGGAACACTTCTACACTGTTGGTGGGAGTGTAAACTAGTGCAACCTCTGTGGAAAGCAGTGTGGCAATTCCTAAAAGCTCTAAAAATTGACCTTCCCATACAACCCCGCAATCCCCTTACTGGGAATATACCCTGAAGAATACAAATCACTCTATAAAAAAGATACGTGCACATGTATGTTTGTCGCAACATTGTTCACAATAGCAAGAATCTGGAACCAACCATGCTGCCCATCAAAAGAGGACTGGATTAAAATAATGTGGTACATATACACAATGGAATACTACACAGCCATAAAAAAGAACAAAATCATGAATTTCGCAGCAACCTGGATGGAACTAGAGTCTATATAATACTGAGTGACCTCTCACAGAAACAAAGATCCGAGTATCACATGTTCTCACTCATATAATGGACCTTGAACATCCAATGTAATACTATAAGAAAACGACTGATGGTACTGGGAAACTATGGGGGGGATGGGATTAACAGTAGCATATATCTGTCTGGGGATGGGGAAACACCTCTTATCAACAGGGTGCCTGAATGAAACATAATTGTACACCTAACCCTTAACTGTACCCCACAAAACCATAATAAAAAATATTGATAAAAAAAAAAAAAAAAAAAGACTAGCTTGATGATACCATGGGCTTTCTATGCCCCAAATATTCTCACTCATTATAGTTAGTGTGTAAGTTACTGTCCTGATTCAGCTACAGGTTTCCAGATGTGGGTTCCATGTAGGTAGAAACTGACCAGTTCTTGCCATTGAATTGCTTTTTTTTTTTTCTTGCTTAAGCCTCCTGGGAATGCCTCCTCTTAGAATTTTTTGGAGAATAAGAAGTTAAAGTAGAACAACCTGAATCTCTTTTTTGTAAAGAAGAAATTGGAATGCCATTTTCCCCACAACTCAATAGAATACCTGTTTTCTTTCTTTCTTTCCTTTCTCTTTGTTTGGAACTATAGAACAGAAACAAAACAAGAAGGGTCTACCTTCATTTTAAAGGTTACTCCGAGGTAAAGAAGAACATAATTATTCCTGGCCAGAGGGAGTGTGGAAACAGGAATTTGAGAAAATGGAAACAAACTTAAGCGTCTTGTAAATTTTAAGTGAATTGTAAACACATAATAGATGAGTGAAAAGGGCCAACCAGGAAACTCTGAAATTGTCCATTGGGGGAAATGACTAATGTATGAACATAAATCTTGGTGACAGGTAGGCTAGCTATTTGTGAAACTTTCTAAAGGTTAAATGAACCATAATAGGATTTCGTTAATGCACCAAAATGAGATTAAACCATGAAATACAAATGCAAATATGAAAGTATTTAATTGG